CGGTGAAATCGGTGAAATCGGAATTTACCGAATTCCGAATTGAATTCGGTACGAATTCGAATTCGGAATTGGTGAATTCGAAATCGAATTCGGTCGAATTACCAGGTACCAAAATTTCGAAAAATTCCGAATTCAAACTTCCGAATTACCGAATTCGAATTCGATGCACACCCCTAGTTGGGGATCTTAGATATGTATGTTGGGTAGAAATCTCAAAAGTGGTTGATTTCCTCTTGAGCGTAGCTAACTCGAGTGGGAAAATGATCATATTTTCGAATTCTTATACTCGAATACCAAAGAGTGATACCTTTATGATAAGTCGATATCCCGAATAATATGAGAGTAAGTTTGAATGGCGAAAGCCAAGGCACGGGGAATGCGAATAGTCTGAATTTAGGATATATTGAAGATATTAGTGAGATTGGTGACCCTGATTATTCAAGCGTACGTACTTGGTTGTACTTCGTCAAGTTTTGCCTGAGCAATAGGATGTACGAATTGCTATGATATATATAAAGAAAGTGTGTTATTTTCAATGTCTTTATTATTTTTCATTTTATGATTTGAAAATGCTTTTATTGAACCTTATAGCTATTTTATTTTGCTTATACTTATTTACGAATAAATATATGAATTTACGAATAAATATATGAATTTCGAGAACGAAATTCTTTTAAGGAGGAGAGATTGTGAAACCCCGACTTTTAGGATATTACGGTTTCTATATTTGATTTTTTTTTAAAACATTGTTTTGTTTTAAAGATTGGAAACCCTACTTATACTCAAAACCCTAGTTTTACTTGTGACTAACAGGTTTTCTTAAATTTCTCATAGTTTAGTCGAAACCCTAATTTTAATCTATGGAATTGTAAAATCCATCATATTTTTCTTAAAATTTTCTTTTATTTGAAATCCATTATCTTATAATAGTTATACTACTCATTCACCCCACAATAAGAGCAAACAAATATAGAATCAATGGTTTTTTCTTTTGTTTTCTTGTTATCGTAAATTAGGGTTTTTACGTCTTTTCGTAGTGTGAGTAATCGGTACGGAGTATGTACTAAATTTGGTGGTTAAGAGTGAGTTTTAGATAAGAAAAAGTATGTGATTAGAAGTAATAAAAAAATAAGTTAGTGAATTATAAGTGAAAAATCCTATTACGTGCGAGTTAAGGAAAACGGTGAGAACCCGATATTTTCTTATTTTCTAACCCTTATTTTAATTCTGTGCATACATTTTCTATACTTTCCTTTATTATATTAATTTTCTAGCAATTTTTATAAGGGAATTAAGTTCTAAAATATTTTTCTAGTATAAGTCAGTTCATGTGACGTTAGTAGTGCATATTGGGCGTGGGACCCGCTAGTGCGGTTAGTGCGGTAAAATTTTAACGACTAGAAGGAGTTTTGTGCAAAAGAAATTATGTGACAAAAGGTGTTAAGCGATGATTGGAGGAGTAATAGATATTTGAGTGTTTAAAAGAGACAATTAGATAGACTTCCCTTGGATTTGTGCCACTTATCAAGCACCAAGCCAATCTTGACCAAGACCATGACCAAGATTAAGCTTAAAACTTATCCAACTCAAGTCAATCACCATTTTCTTACTTTGCCTTCCATGATGGACGAAATTTGGGAGAAGAAGAAGAGAAAAATACTCCATTTTCAGCCGTGATCTCTTGCTTGAATCATGGAAGAAAAAAACCAAGATCAACCCTAATCCACTCCAATCAACCTTGAGATAATCTTGAGGGGAAGCTCTTGGAGAAGTTTTAGGGAAGACACCCTTGAGTACTTCTTGCTTGGCTATCCATTTAAGTTTTGGAGGTAAAGAGGAGAACTTTGCTAGAAATCCTCCCTTATCTTTGAGTTTCTTTGATAGATGATGTTATAGAAGCTAAAGGAAGGATTTGTATGGTGATTTTCATGATTTTCAGGTTGTGTTGTGCTTTTTCCAACATTGTTTTGTGGAATTTAGGAGGTAAAATTGATAGTCACCTTATCTTTTCCACTTGTCTTTATATCTACTTGATGGATGATACTTTATAAGGAAAAAAAGGCATGACTTTTATGATAGCTATCATGGTAGTGTTAGGTTTGATGAAATTTCCAACTTTGATGATGAACTGTCCTGTTTCTGACCGTGTCTTTTAGTCTATGTTAGAGGCCAAATCAGCCTTAGCTTAAAACATGAAAGTTGTAGGAAATGATGTTTTATACCGGCTTGTAAAATTTCAGCTCAATCTGAGTACTGTATCATATGAAAAGACAAAAATACCCTTGATGCCATAGGTAGAGCTTTGTGGACGGTTTTGACATTTCGCCATTCTATCCGCATTTTTTCACTTTGATCAGTATTGAATTAGCATTTGACCAAAACATAAAAGTTGTAGTGCTATGTTTTATATTTCCAACGCCTCTTAAAACGCCTCAATCGGACTTTTGTAGCCTGAGTTATTGTCAGTTGAACACAGTGCTGTTAACCATCCTGACGGTGAAATTCTGGTTCTGTAAACGATGAATTTGACTTGGATACACTATGAACTGGATTGAGTGGTCTTCATCAAAGTTGTAGCCCTTTGTCTTAACTTCGAAATGGTATAAATTCTACCCCAATTTGATAAGCGTAGCTTCGGTTGTGACCGATACGCTAAGAGACGTCGAACCAATTTTTTTTTACTTTTTGCCTTAAACCTTATTTCCGGTCATTTCTGTAGCATGGTTTTGTAATTGTATGACGTTGAGCCTATTGAACGGCTATTGTAATGAGACTCTTTGTGTGTGACTTTGGAACTGATTGAGGAAACGAATGGAGCCATAAATGGCTGGAAAATAGGTAAATATAAAGGGCGTGCTGCCCAAATTTGCACTCGAGAACTAGATAAGGATTTGAGAACGAATACCATTTGAACCATTTAGGATAATTGCATCTTCTTTTATCGAGGTATATAAGTTAGAATTCGACCGAAACTTGTATCCTTGGAAAAATGCAATTTACAACTAATTGAAATACGTTTTCTTTGTCACTTCGACTCAAATGGAGATTTCAAGATTTTACGAGCGAGCATAAGTTTTACAAATATTTTACTCATGGCCTTTGGTTTAAATGTACTCTTTTCACTTCCAAAACTATACTTATACTTTGTAATAGTAGTTATTCGGATTTTCTTTGGTTCACCTAAACTTTGAATGGTTTAACTGTAATATTTTCTTTTGATTATATTAGGGTTCCTTGGTGATTGAGAGTATTATCCAAAAGGATACTTTGGACGTTATTTTGCTTAAATAGGTGAGTGTTCTTTGTACGTTATGTTTCCATTGACTATGTGACTTGTTGTGGATGTTTGATTAAATGTTAAATGCTTTCAATGATTGCTGAAAATGAGTTTTCCTAGACGAGTGTGTACTTTATCGCACTCGACCTAAATAAATGTGAAATTTTCAATGATTATTTGATTATACGCTAGTTGTGCATGAATGTAAGCCTTTTGGCTGAACTGGACCCTTGCCCTTCGTTGTCGGTTGACTCGAGCCAGAAGCGGACTCGGTCGGGCGATTTAGTGACCTTGGATGAAAGTTTGGTATATTCGAGTATTACCACGTTGTCGGGTGGAGTCTGGCCAATGTCCAAAAAGGGGAAGAATGAAATGAATGAACGAGTGACAATGTCAATGGAGGGGTTTTCACTTACAAAATGCATTTTAAAATGATTGGAGGAATAAGGAAATGAAAGGTGAATGAAAGAACGAAAGGCTCTATGTGAGCATATATCCTTTTAATGAATGTGTTATCATTGCTTCATATTGTAAATGTTTCTTGGATTACTTGTTATTACATGATTAATGTCCTTGTTTAAGTTGATTATGTGTCTGGAACCTCACTGAGCTTTTAACTCATTCCGTTAGCTTTGTTTTCCTTACAAGGGTTACAAGCGAGGGTGTGAGATCTGTGCAGACTAGTCTGGACTAGTTCTTTTGAATTTTGTTTTGTTGATTTTCTCACGTTAGTGCTTGAATAGGGTTGGATGTATTAAGAACTGAGAACTTTCGTTTTCTTGGGGATTGTATATTATTTTGAGATAGAAATGAATGTAAGTATGCGTTTCAAGTTTGGAAATTGTTCCTTGCGGTTATTTCTTATTTCTTTTGAAGAGTTTGAGTGAGTTCTGGCGAGAGTTAGGCAGGTGGACCGCCAAACCCTTTGGTTCGCCTTAGGAAGAAGTGGGGCCGTCACATGTGACTCCAACCACTTTTGAAACTCGTCATCCTTGCGAACTTTAGGACTTTAATCAATATAATGCAAGCTTATTTCTTGTCCAAAATGAAGTCCAATTTCTAACTTTTACAAACACAATAAAAAATATGCAAGTAAAACGGACAAAGTTTTCGTTTAAATTCTAAGTAGCATTTTAGAACTAAATCTAGCAAAAATGGATTTTTTTCTTATAATATTGAAAAATTAACTAAAATTAATATAAACTATCATTCAAATATAGTATAAATAGTCACTTATCAATAAAAAAACGTGTGGTATTGTAACCTATGTTTTGAACTCGGATTGGGTAATGACTCGATAGAGGTTAGGGGTCAGGAGTCAATGGGTCTGATCGGTTAGCTCGGGATAGAGTCGGATGATGTCATAATTAAAATATAAATATATTTTAAATAACATAAAATAAAAAAATAGAATAAACATGTACTTATAGTCATTTATATTTTTTGACATATGTCCTATATATTAAAATGTCAAATTTGTATTAAATAATTTGTAATAATCAACTAACTTAATGTTTGTATATCTGAACTGCATATTAATGAGTCTTTAATTCTATAAGATCATGAATCTAGAATGAAAATTAATAATCATTGTAAACATATAAAAATTATGGTCCAAATGAAAGTAATAAAAGAACTTTACGTGTGTAGTTATGATTGTGCAAAACATTAAGGGATCAAAGTACAATATGATAAAAGTTTTAAGCTTAAAAGGGGATTCCTTAGCAAGTCTTCTTCTCCGCCGTGAAACTTTCCGGTTTCTTATGTCCCCGTCACAAAGTTTCCACGGTCCAGTTCGCTATTTGTGTTCTGGTCTTTCTTTTTTCAAAAAGAAAAGAAAGAAATTGTCTTCCAATCCAGGTGCCCATCATTGCTTTCTTATCAAACAGAAGTGAAGGAAACTTCTTATTCGTTACTTTCCCTTCTATATCTTTGCTTCATTGATATTTCTTATTTGGATGATGTTTTAGATCTTTAGATCTACAAATTTTTCTTCTTTCTCGAAGTTTTCATTTAGGTGTCGATGAATCAACTTCCCCATCATTGATTAGTCTGCAAATTGGGGAAGAGCATTTTTTTTGGCTTGGATTAAAAATGCAGAAGCTTGGGAAGTCAAGACTCGGGTTTCCAGATCCAGTTTCCTAATTCAACCCGAATGAGCCCGATTTTAATCAGCTTTGACTGGATTTCTGCCAACCGATTTTTTATAGAAACTCGAACCGGACGCCTATTCGGTTCCCGGTTCAATTGGTCGAACCAGATGGTCCGATAAAAACATAGCTGATATGTATTCTTGTTTGTTCACTTGAGGTTGTTTGGTTATTATATAGTAGAGGCAAGTGGCAAGTAGTGATGTTTGCAAGACCCCAAAGTCGTTGATAAGACGGTCATTGGAATGTAGTTTTATTACTGATATGCATTCTTGTTTGTTCACTTGAGGTTATTTGGTTATTATGGTCAATGGAACGTAGCTTTATTACTAATATGCATTCTTGTTTATTCGCTTGTGGTTGATATGTATTCTTGTTTGTTCACTTGGGGGTGTTTGCTTATTATGGTCAATGGAATGTAGCTTTATTACTAATATGTATTCTTGTTTGTTCACTTGAGGTTGTTTAGTTAGGTTGGGAAATAGTGAGTTTTGCAAGACGCTAAAGGCAATACTGATATAGTCAGGCTTGCATCTTAAGTTTTACATGGTGACCCACACGACTTACTGACTTTCAATACTGATGTGGCTCTTTCACATATGTATGATTTTTAAAATGTTTTTGAAGCAATTCTTATTTGTCACTTGTTATGGAGAATGTATTTTATTATACTAAATTGGATTGAGCATATGTAATTGTTTTATAACTACGTGCATATGAATAATTGCATTATGTATTTAAAAGTGATTGTTATGCAATATTTTGTATATCAATGAAATGAACGTGCTTAAACAAGTGAAGGACAGAAAAAGCCTCTAGAATTGCCACATTTGAATATTGTTATGGCCCTTCCATGGGATATAATAGTTGACAAATGACTCTGTCATGTGAAAGAATAGTGACCGTAGTAATTATCCGAAACTACGCTTTTAATCGTTATATGGCTTTACCACAAGAAATAATAGTGGTATTTAATGGCCCTCTCACATAATGTAATAGTAATCGTTGGATATTTTTTAATTGAAAGCAAAGTGACAAGATTCAAGATTCCACGGATTGTAATTAGACTGGTGAAATATAAATTTGTGCATAGTTATGCATTGTGTTGGTAAGATGCATGTAATGTGCTAATTGTGATTGGATTCTGTGAAATGCTTTTGTTAAATGTTAAATGTAATATTAATGTGCTCGATCCGGTAAAGATATGTTGAGGTTACTTATTGAGGAAGTTGATGCTTACCCCAATTAATTTTTCCTCCCCTGCAGATGAGGATCAGGCGTAGGATGGATTGAAAACTAGTTTGATCAGGCTAGGTTTCTAGAGTTGAATTTTGTAAAATTGTAGTTGTATGACTTTTGTATCTTAATAATTTATATTTGTTGAGAGTTTAGTGTGAAGGATTGTAAGAGTGATTTTCCATGTTTGGAATTTTTGTAAGTTTATTCAAAGGTATATGTAATGGTTAGTTTGTATTTATAAGTTTGATAGTCGGCTTTGTAGAAAACTCCTCTCGGTTTTCTCTAGGTTCACTTCAACTCTATCCTATGCTTAGAATCGAGGATATGAAGAACATGTCCATAAAATAGAAGTAGAATGAAAAGAGGCGCAAGCTTCACAGCTAGATAGGCAGCTCATCATCGGAAATCTTATATTGACCATTATTGCCTAATAACTCGGTTCCTTGTGTAGAGCCACCATCTTCGCCAGGCTACCACTCGGACTGGATCTAAGAAAGAACTAACCAAACTGGCTTGACCGACTGGATCTCTCAACCATAAGGAGAGGAAAAGGCAATGTTTCAGGGAGGATCCCATGTGGGTATATAAATGAATTTGATATAGTGCATTTTCGAACGGATAAGTAAAGACTCATTGCGGGGTCGGTCACAAACTGTGCCTAATGCTTTGGACAACTATTATGTGTAGCGAGTGGAGGATTGAAAGCGGCCTACTTGAGAATGGCTCCTTTGACTTTGCTTGAAACCAGCTTGGTATTGGCAACTCCACTTGGAGAGCTAGAAGGCAAGGCAGGAACTAGATCCCAAACGTGCTACTTCTTCGCTTCTTTGCTTGCTGGCTTTCCTGAAATGACTGAAGCTGGCTTGATTGAATGAATGGACAGCTACGGATTGGCACGCTGAACTCATACCCGGAATCATAATCTAAACTCGGGTAAGAAGAAGCTCTTTCTATATTATCTAGAATATACCCTCACACATCTGATTCATGAACAGATGATTAGTAAACAAACAGGCTTGACTTTCCTTAGAAAGCAGAAAGAGGCATTACTCTTTCTCATTTACAAAGAGCCAATGAACCAAACATCAACTATAGTAATGATATACATTCCTGGCACTGAACCAAACAAATATATTGTAATGATTGATTCCATTCCAAATCCAGGATGAATGATTCCGAATCCGAATCCGATTCCAACATATGCGAATCAAACGCCACCTAAGAATCTAATTCACATGCACAAGAGAAAGAGAGAAACTGAAATAACTAAATAAAGGAAAAAACAATCAGGACTTAATGCGGAAGACTTTTAGACATTCTCAAGGGAGTTAACCCTGCTACGCCTTAAAGAAAAGCTCGCTGTACGACTTCGAATATGTGAGGACCCGAATTTTCCTCACTTATAATTCTATTTTTATGGCTTATTTAAATATTTATTCACCCATTCTCTCCAAATAATTTATTTCAACCATATTAAATCTATTTATATGGAATAATGTCTCAATTATATTTTTAAAATGTCTCGTTAGTAAATTTAATTTTCTAGGGCTCGTTTAGTGAAAAAAATAGCGAGTACACATTTTTCGAGACAATAATCGATTCGAGAATACAATAATCTTGGAGATTTGAGGACTCATGTTTTATTTCTAAAATGGTTATTTTATAATCAATTACATTAGTAGTAGTTAATTATATAATCGTTATATGAATTTCCCGTAAATTTCGCCTTATTGCGCGCGAATTGGAATTTCGCGTATATCGAGTTGGAATGGTTAAACGGAGACTTAAGAAACTTATACTAGACTACTAAGAGTGAATAATTATAGTGTTAAAATAATTACAATTGAGGTTTAGTGCACAAGTGAAACAAACTCGAGAGGAATCGAGCACGAAACGCGCGTGTGCACACGCGGGGAGAGGGTTGACTTTTGAATGAATCGTAGCCACACATTAAAGCTTCTCTTGGAAGCTTCATTTTGATCAAAACACTCTCTCTCTTGCTCTCATTCCAGCCGGTCACCAAGGGAAGGAAAACAACCCAAAGCTCTCCAAAATTCTTCACCATTTCTTCACAAAATCCTCACCCAAATCACCCCAAATTTTAGCTACAACTTGTAAATCACTTGGAAACCACCTCAAGCTAGGAAGAGAGCTTGCTTTCCATGGTTTTGTTGAGCGTCAAGAGGCCGAAAATTTCTACTTTGTTCATCAAGAGAGGTAAACCACGATCAACTACAAGAATCTTAGTTTATGAAGACTATCTTGCACTTATAAGCTTATATAATCATGTGGGTAGCTTTATTTATGTTTGAAAGTTGGTGTGTGGGCTCTATAAACTCCCACTATGGCTTGATGGACTGATTTGTTGTGTTTTGATGTTATTAATGTTGGATTAGTGTTTAATCTAGTGGAAATAGGTTGTATTGTTGAAGGAAAAGTCAAAGGAAGTGATGAGGGAATTTTTCCATTTCTGCCCCTGTACATGCCGTGGCCCTTAGAGCAAATTTTTGTGGTTCCAATGACTTGTTTATGATGTATACATGTTGTGTGGGTTGTGTAGAAAGTTTCATCAAAAAATTTCGTGATTTGGATGGGTAGATGTTGAGTTTTCGAAAGTCCAGTAAAACTGGAATTTTTCCCGAAACTGCTATGGCAGTGTTTTTCAAACAGCTATAACTTTTTGTTCCGATGTCAAAATCAAGTGCCGTTTGTGGTACTGGAAACTAGACATTCCCAGCTTTCCAACGGTATAAACTTTACATTCTGATTCCACCTGAGTAGTCCATACCAATCTTTTGAACATGACTGTCCTGTTTCGCGTCTACACTAGGAGTTCTGTTTTGAGCAGCGAATTGATGCTCAAATATGAGCTAGCTGTGGACAGATTTTGAATACAATTTCTTCTAAGAAATTGTAGCTTTATGAATCTAGTTTTCAACGCCACTGACCATGCTCAATTCGAATTTGAATTGAGTGAGTTATGGCCTAATTTTGAAAATGTGATAAAGCTGGACATCTGGAAAAAAAATCCCTTCCTTCATGTTGGCCGACAGGTTTAGCTTGATGTGGGAGGTTTTGTTTCGAAATTCTTGATGTCCATTGTTTTTCAATACTTATCAAATGTCTCTAGAACACTGGTTTCACAAATGAACCAAATTGGACTGATTTCATGATACAAAGTGTTTGAAAAGGAAAGAGAAGCTTGAGTTGGCAGATTTGCTTTGAAAATTTCACAAACTTCAGTCATTTTGTTAACTGCCTTTCCATGTGAGTTTTTACGTGAAATTTGGTAGAGATATAGTTCATATATGGAAGTTTTAGTGTACCAAAATTGGTGTTATTCTAAGACCATTTTGATACCCAAACGATGTCCCAAAGTTGCTCTTCAAATCTGGAAAATTTTTCCTTTGCTCTTGGCTGAATGGTCAAATCTGATTTGGGAAGTTATATTTCGAAAACCTTGATGTCAATTATCTCTAAATTGCTTATTGGATGTTTATGGAACCTTGGTTACAACATTTGAATTAATTGAGGTTGATGGTGTGGATCAAAGTTTTTTAAAAAAGGAAGGAAACGTGAGAAGGCAGATTACCCTTGGAACATTTCTTGAACTTTAGTTGTTTTAATGACTGCCTTCCCGTGGGAGTTTTTGCATGAAACTTGGTAGAAATGTTGTTCACACATGGAAGACTTAGGGTATCAAGTTTGGTGTAGTTCCAATGCCAAATCGATGGTCAAATGATATTTCAAAGATAGCCTTTCAAATCTGGAAAATATTCAATCTGTCCTTATTTTTAGCTAATTTCGGACTGCTATATCTTGATGTTCGAAACTCCGAATCTTGTTCCGCTTGTTGCGTTTTAAACCTTGATTGGAATTCTAATTGAGGTACAAATTTCGGAGGCTAGTTCACTTCTTGTGAATTTTACCGAATTTCCAAAGTTTGCCGAAAAACATGACTAAAACTGTCTTGCCTGTTCAGATCAGCCTTTTTGAGCTGAAAAATGATTTTTTTTCGATTTGAATCTTAGAAAAGTGTCTTCTAGGAACTTTTAGTACTTTGAAACAAGATTCCAACGGTATAAGATTTTCCTTATTTTGGCCTACTGAGTGCAAGATATGATTTTTCTAAATTTGACGCACAAAGCCAAAATTTGCCGATTTCTTAGAAAATGAAATTTTGGAAACTTGACTTCTTATCTTGATATTAATCTATCGTTTTGAACCCGATTTCGTGGAGGATATGAGTTTCCTCAGTAACTTTAAAATCCACACTTTTGAATCTTAACTTTCGATAAAATAAAACCCTTATGAAGACATTGACTTGAATTCTAAAGCAAGTATGCATTCTTTCTTGTTTGATAAGGAATTTGTGAAATTGTGAGGGTGATTATTGGTCACTTTTCTTCAGGCGATCAAGAAGGTCTCGAAGAGAATCTCGAAGTGGATCATTGACGACTTTCTTTACTCACTTATTTTGGTTGGTGAGTGTTTCATATAGGAATATGTGATTCGAATAGTTTTATGACATGTTTATTCCATGGTCATTATGTGTTTAATTGTTAAATGCTACCGATAATTGTTTCTATGGACTTTTCCACCATTTTGAGTCGAGTGTGTACTTTACCGCACTCATTCTCACTTAGTAAAATGTACTTGAATTATTCGACATGAAATACTTGAAATGCATATTTACGTGAAGTGTTTCAATGATTGATTATGCTATGGCTGCATAAGTCGATTGGAGTGAATCTCCTCGACTCTTAAGTGGTAAAAGTGGGAAACGGCCAATGTGCGACCTACTAAAATGATAAATCTTACCGTTAACCGAGATTATTTACCGTTTACCGTTTACCGTTCACCGTTTACCTGATTATTTACTTGATTACCTGTTTACCTGATTACTTGACTACTTGATTATGTGATTACCATAAATTACGTGTTTACATGAATTTTTCCACAGTTTTACGGCGAGTGTGTACTTCATCTCACTCGACCTACAAAATTGATAAATTTTACCGTTTATCCATTTACTTGATTACTTGTGCATGTTGTAAGCTCTAAGCTGAACTGGGCCCTACCCTTGGTTACTGACCTACTCGATCCAGGACTGGGCTCGGTCGGGTAGGTTGGAACCCTGAGACACCGTTTCGGTATACTCGAGTACTACCACTGGAGAGATAAGGTGATGGCCAGACAAACCGAGGGATTCTGAAGTTATAAGGTGCAGTTGACCGAAATGGTTCCACTGGAACACCGTATCCTTCAATATGTATTTATTTTGCATAATGATAACTGTTTCATGGTAATGTGCCAACGTGCAATCCTGAACCATACCTGTGCTATGCTCAAATTACTCGTACAATAATAACTGTCTCATGTTAATGTGCCAATGTGCAACCCTGAACAATATCTGTGATATGTTCAAATTACTCGTACAATGATAACTGTCTCATGTTAATGTGCCAATGTGCAACCCTGAACCATACCTGTGATATGCTCAGATTCCTCGTACAATGATAACTATCTCACGTTAATGTGACAATGGGCAACCTTGATTTAAACTCATGTTAACTATCTCATGTTATCTATCTCATGTGTTAAGCTCAAATTACTTGATTTATTAGAACTGATAGAGTGTCTTGGAACCTTACTGGGCTGTGTAGCTCATTCCACGTTTTTGTTTTCCTTAACAGGGTTTGAGACCAAGTGCTCGTAAATAGTGCTAGATTGTTTTCTTTCGGGGAAAATTTTAAGTTGTATTACAGCAGATGGCTGTAGTAAATATTCTTTTGGGTTGTATTAAGTTTGAGAGCTGACTAATTGTAAGTATGAAGTGTTTTGGAGTACTTTAAATATATATATATTGAAGTTATTTAAAGTATTCTTAGTTTTGAATTATGGATTGTACCGAGTCCTGACGAGAGTTAGGCAGGCGTCCCGCCGATACCCTTGGGTTCGTCCTTGGGAGAAGTGGGGGCTTCACAGTAGAAGACCAATGAGAGAAGGAATCGAATCATAGACGGATTGGTTTTAGAATAAAGAGATAGCACGACTTCAAAGACTGAGAAAGCTATAGAGGAATAAGAATGATTTAGGACCTCTGAGGAGGGTATGCCGGTGCCGCGCTTTAAATTATAGGTTAAATGTTTTTAATTATGATTATCAGATTTGGGACGTGACAAGAAAAAATATGATGTTGTTAAGGGAAAATTCTTTCGAGAAAATGGAGGGCTAATTCTACAAAAACAACTCAAAAGACAGGACAAATCTTCCAACACAAAAATTTTAACAGCTGAAGAGCTCAAGAGAGAACAAATAACTTCCTTGAAAGCAACATTATTGGTCAAGGAGGTTTTGGTGTAGTCTACAGAGGATCTCTAGCAGACAACGGAGAAGTAGCCATCAAAAGGTCCAAAACAATTGACTATAACCAAATTGAGCAATTCATAAAATGTGGTTAAGATCTTGGGTTGTTGCTTAGAAGCAAAGGTACCGTTACTCGTTTACGAATTTATCGACAATGGTACCCTTTTCAAGCATTTGCATGACAAAAACATGGCACGTAAAATTTGTTGGGAAATCCGATTGAGAATAGCTGCAGAAACTGCTGAGGCTCTCCCATATTTACACTCTGCAGCCTCACTTCCGATCATCCATAGGAACATAAAGACTGTGAACATACTCTTGGATCAAAATTACACAGCCAAAATTTCTGATTTTGGTGCATCAAGGTTAGGTCCGCTTGACCAAAATCAACTATCTACAATGGCGCAAGGAACTCGCGGCTATCTTGACCCTGAAGTTTTCCAAACATTTCAGCTGACAGAGAAAGGTGATGTTTATCACTTTGGAGTTGTTCTTGTTCAGCTATTGGCGGGCAAGTTGCCCATATGCTTTGATAGGTCGGAGGGTGAGATAAGTCTAAGCAATCATTTTCTTTCTTCGATAAAGCAAAATCGATTGATTGAGATTCTCGAAGAGTTCATGGTGTCTGAAGAGAATATTGAGCAGTTGATGCAAGTTGCTAGGCTAGCAGAGCGATGTTGGAATGTAAAAGGAGAGGACAGGCCTTCCATGAAAGAAGTGGCAATGCAATTGATGAGGTTGGCATTTGCATCAATGAATAATATGGTTCCAAGTGCTGAAGATTACAAAGAACCACCAGACAAACCTCTAATCAAGCCTTCACTGCACTTCTGGGACGGAATTGTATCAGTTTCCTAGTATCTGTTGGCCGCAGGCTGCAGCTAAGATCCATTACATACTGTAGTTCTATTGCGAACACTATTATGTTCTAACCAAATTAGCCCTCCAGAGCATATTCCAATCAATTTCTATGTAATGCTATTTTAAAGTAGTTATTTACAAAAGAATTGTCAACCAAATAGGAATCTGTATGAAGTTCAGCTTGCAACTTCAACTAGATCGGCTCAATATATAATAAAAGTTTTTCATATACACAGCTACAGTAAAGTTTTTAAAAAACACATAATCCAAACGGAGCCATTGTTTGCAAGAAAAAAATCCTTAATTTCATAAGCAACTCCCGAATTTCCGTTCATAAGCAACTCCCGAATTTCCGTTTTAAGTATCACTTTCGCCAAATTTTTTAAGTTTAAAGGACCAAATTAGTTTGCCATAGTACTAAGCGACCATACTGGTCAAAAACTTAAAAGAGGACAAAATTGGTCATTTAGCTGTAGTTTTAACAGCGCATGCATGTACAACTCAAGTGACTTCTTTGTTAATTTTTTTTTCTTCTTAATCTTCTGTCAAAAATTCTAAATTGCAACTTCATATCAAGATAAGATAAGAGAGTATAATAAATGAGGAATCATTTAGCCATGACTCCAAAGATATGTGATAAAATAGTAAATTTTTTTTAGTTGTTTTTTGGGAATTTTTTTCATAAGAAAAAAGGTTTATAGTAGCACTCTATTGGAAAGTGTGTACTGAGGCTAAATTAATCTCTCTATCTCATTCATTATGTGCATTGGGAGAATGTTTTGAGTTATATTTCATGAGCTGGCAGATGATCATGTTCCCATGGCTTCATCATAGGAAAACACTACCTGAAATGCTCATGTTCCTAGACCTTTGTTTCATTCACAGGAGTAGCTGAATTCATGTTTCAGGTTGCAATATTCAATATTAATTAAATCCAGTTTAAATAATTTGAATCTTTAGTCTTGAAAATACAGCACACAAGTATGTACTATATAAATTTGCTCATGTATGTATATTTATTCGGTCAAAATTTACTTGAAATTTTAGATTTTCAAAATTTAGGCGTCCATTTAATCTATGATTTTTTTATTTTTTTAGTTTTGCTCTATGTTACTGTCTTGAATCTTTTGAATGTCATTTTGAAAAAGGATCGGATGTCTCTTATTCATTAGCGGCAACTTCTTACTTTTGGGTTCCAAAGAAAGAAAATGCATGTATATAGCCAAGAAAATTGAAAAACAAAAGACAAAAGAAGCGCACAACCTCACACATTCGACAAAAAATATAGTACACTTCCATGCACATGAAATAAACTTAACCCCTATATGTGTGTAATATATATATAACTGTTATTTGCACTCACATTTTTGTTATTCACATTTGCACTATCATTTAATCATATAATTTTCATTTATTAGACTATATGATAAAATAAATGATGAGAGTGCAAATAACACCTCTGGTGTGTGTGTATTTTCGAGGTCAATGTTTAACATTGCTCCTACAGTAAATATAATTTTGATTAAATCTTGCACAATTATTATGATGTTTACCTTGCCAAAAGACTATGTTGAGCAATCAAGGGGCATAATCCCAAGATTATGTAGGTTACTAGTATCATTAGTACATTTGCAAAAACTATGAAATCTAATGAACAAGGAAATGCCAGTAACATCCTTTAAATCTTGACTCGAAAATGAGCTCTGAAAGTTCCCAAAGGTATTAAGGAAATGATAGAGGACTCTAGACCCAAATAAACAACTTATCCTTGAGTAGGTACCTAATTAAATTGCAATACGTGGGAGAACAAATTTTAGGGAACAATAAAGTTGGGCGACTAATTTCTTACTTCCCATAGATCCTATCCCAATAATGATGCACTAATCCGTGCTAGTTTGGTGTACAAGTCATGGAACTTCCACTTGAAAATGTAGCAGATGAAACAAAAAGATCACCACATCCCAGACATTATGAAGTGTGTCCTTCACAGACAAAATCATCTCAACCTAACAATATAGCAGCAATCTTGTCTTTTTGGTACAATCACCAGCTAACAGCACCATTATGTTTCCTAAGTTTCTTCATTTCCAAAACCTGTATTTGTAAACTTGCCCGAGACAGCTAGATATTTCTAAAAAATTTGGGTTAACATGCACTGGGATGGACATCAGATGGAAAGCAAATGACAGCAAGAATCAATTCTCTCTTAATCACAAAACATAAGAAGCATGATAAACTTATAACACAGATTTGATGTGGAATGACAATTTCAAAGGAATAGAATTAGTGGGGGAATCCATTTTCATCTATACATGCTAAAATACAGTCACAGTCAAATTCACATTCATATACTCCTGCACTATTCTCAAAAGAAGTCAACAAATCTATCAGAAAAAAAAAAAGTCTTACAAAATAGTTGTCATCTGAATCAGTTATGGTTGACGACAGATTTAAGTACATGTGCATTAATTAAGTATCATCGGGCATTCCTCTCTTCTGTTGCCTCTAAGGCATCAACTTCCTCATTTGACAAAAGGTCAACAATGGGTTCAAATACATCCCACTCTTTTCTTTTCCTGAAATAACAGCACAAGAAACAAATAAATTTCAAAGTGGAAGCACAGCCAAGTACTCAAAACTTTTAACCTTTCCTTTATTATATATTAGCACTGGCAACATGTTCTACAGCATTCTTGTAGTTATGCTTAGACACTTTCTCACAATTCAGATGGATCTAAATTTATTGAATTCAATCATCACCATCATTCAAATTTAACAAGTTATGGTGTAACATACAGAGATACAATTTAAGCTCACAGTCCACTACGCTCTCACCCCAAAAGGAATTCTCTCCTCTTGAAAATTCTTGGATATGCTAAAAGAGGTTATACGCCTGATTCAAATTTAATAAGAAAATGCAAGATAACAAAAATCTGTAACCATTTGGGGACTGTTGAGGAAAGGAAGGAAGCTTGAAACAGGTGATGGAGGAGCTGGGAGACTGCGGAATGGTTGAGCTGGTAGAGTAGTAGGGTTTATGAAGACTCATTGAAGAATTTCCAGTTGTGGTGGAGGCAAGGAGGTGGAGATGAACAAAATTGGGATGGAGATAGAGGCATCGACATTGGCAGTTCGCCAGGAGAAGGAATTTGACATTGGGGAAGGAGGCAAGGAGGTGGATTAAGTAACCAATGCTATGGAAAAACTAGTACTACTGAGAGTTTCTAAAAATTTTGAAAACATCTAGTAGTAGAATACCAAAAAATGACTTCCAAACAATTTTTCAGACAAGCAGATAAACAAGTTTATATTTACCACAACCATTTGGCCCAGTACTACAGCACCACATCCAGCCCAACCACAAATTGTTAACCCATGGCCCACCCCAAGTGCTTCTCCATCTGCTCAATTGCACACCAGATCTGCACCTTTTTGCACACCAGATCTGCACCTTACTCAAAGGCTCAAGTTGATCCATGGTCAGTAGTAATTCCCATCCACATCCTTATCATACTGCCCTCACACTGCTCCTTAGATATACTCTTAAAAGTCTGAAAACCCCACTTCCCAAAACAACCTTAGTCCAACCCGTCCCCACAACCCCACTCAATCCCCAGTCCCCAAACATTTGAATATATTACATGGTGCCATTCA